GCGGCATCTCGCAGAGTTGGGGAGGATGTCTCAGGCAAGAATGTCTGAAATAAGCTTTTCCAGATCACCTCGCGCTCGGCATGTCTGAGCCAAGAGTTGCGAGTATGTCTAAGGCGAAACGGGCTGGACATCCTCAGGTTAGGGGCATATCTGAGCCCAGAGTTGCGAGGACGTCTCAGGCAAAATCGACTGGACCACTTCGCGCGTGGCATATTGGATCCCAGAGTTGCGAGGAACTCTCAACGCAACGCAACGCAGCGCAATGGGAAGTGACGCAACAAAAATGCAATCCCATGCGTTGTAATGCAATGCCATGCAATGCAATGCAATGGCATTCCATGCAAGTGCAATGCAGCATATGCAAAATGCAAGTGCAGATGGGCATGAGACAGAGGCTTCCACTGTGGGGGATGCGGGGGAAAAAAGAGAGAGAGAAAGAGAGAGAGAGAGAGAGAGAGAAAAAAAAGAGAGAGAGAGAGAGAGAGAAAAAGAGAGCTAGGGAGAGAAGGAGCGCGATGAGGAGGATGTGGAGTTGTTTTCCAGGTCTCTCCGTGCAACTTGGCATGAACCACGGTGCAACACCAGTAGCAGGAGGCGGGGCTGGCAACAGGATCAAGCACATCGGAAGCGAACTTAGCAGGAACACGACGAGGGCCGCCGAGGGCCGCCGAAGGCCGCCAGGGGCTGCCGAAAGCCGCCGAAGAACGACGAGGCAGAGGAGAGGGAGGAGGAGGAGGAGGAGGAGGAGGAGGAGGAGGAGGAGGAGGATGAGGAGGAGGAGGGGAAAGGAGGAGGCAAGGAGGAGGAGAGGAGGAGGAGGAGGAGGAGGAGGAGGAGGAGGAGGAGGAGGCGGAGGAGGAGGAGGCGGAGGAGGAAGAGGAGGGGGAGGGGGAGGAGGCAAGGAGGAGGAGGAGGGAGAGGACGAGGTGGTAGTAGGACGTGAAAAGAGGAAGGAAGGGGAGGAGGACAGGAGGAGGAAGAGGAGGAGGAGGAGGAGGAGGAGGAGGACGAGGAGGAAAGACAAGACGAGCAGCAGGAGGCGGAGCTGACAACTGGATCAAGCACATCTGGAGCCCACTTAGCAGAACAGAAGCCCACTTAGGAGGAACACGACTTCACGCCACGCACGATGTTCGCCCCCTGCGTCCCTCAACCTTCCCAACCAGATCAAAGAAAACACTTTGAATCGCATTAGAAGGAAAATCATGGGCCTGTAGTTGTCGCAGGCCGACGGGCCGCCTGTCTTGCAAATCGTGCGACCCCCGATGTCCGCCGCGCCAATGGCACGCAGGTTTGCGACCATGCAACGCTGCATAATCTGACAGTCCGAAAAGAGTTGTCTCCCCATCTTCGGCCCCGGCCATCCAAAACTCCAGCGGCGCTTGATCCAGTCCAGCCGCGCGCTAATGCTTCAGCTTCTGCGCAACCTTCGGGGCGTCTGACATCATGATTGCGCCGCGCCTCACGGGCTGCTCGGGCGGATGCTCTCGCTGCGCGGAAGGGCCGTGGTCGGGCGCACCGCCCACTGGATGTGTTCCAGATGCTCAGATGCTCAGCTGAAAACGTCTGCCCGCCTGCCGCTGTCTACAGGTTCGCCGCCGCCGCCCCGTGGTCTGCCTGCGCGTTGCGCTCGCCACTTCCACGGCTTCCGGATCACCACCCAATCGACTTCTTTGGTACAGTCGGGGCCCTGAAGAAGGAACACTTTTCGTTGGGGAGGGGCCCCGCGTTCCTTAAGCGTTTCGCAGCTTGCCTCAGGTTTTCCTTATGTTTTCGATGGGGAATCGAAGTTTGACTTATGGAAAAAAAGGGGCCCCGTTCCTTATTTTGAGCTCCTTAAGTCAAGGCCCCGAATGTAATGTCTCGAAACCAGTGAACACGGACACCACCGACGGATGCGCGGATCTGCTTTGAAATTGATTGCTGCTCCAGCGCGGCACGCGCCCAACTTGGCGCCTGGCCCCCCCTTCTCCTCGAGATCAAACTGAGAGCGCGGCTGCCTGTCCGAGGTCATCTCGGTCGATGACAGCCCATATGCTGCCCGCGGAAGCCATCCACATGACGGGACCGCGCGATGTTCGCGTCTCCCTCGTCTGGCGCGGCGCCCTCAAACTGCTCCGTCGCGTCGCTGCAAGAGTGTCCAAAACAGAGCCTCAATCCAGGCTCCAGCAGCGACCGCATGTCCCGCGGGGGAATGTGTTCGACCGGGCCTCTCACCACTTCCACCTCGAGAGAAGCATGCAGCAGAAAATGACAAAACGACGCGGCGCCTGTACGAGGGCCCCCCCTGCTCACACACGAAGATGTCGATCTGCGAGCGGGCATGTAGAGATACAATTTCCGCAGCTGGGCGGCCCACATCGTAGCACGTGGAACGGCAGTCCATTGGCAATTCGAACACAGTGTCTGCCAAACACATGGTAAGATGGGCGCACGCCTCCATCAACAGATACCGATTAGCCTGAGTCCACGTCTGGTGGCGCAAACACATGCGGTCCTACCACGCTCGACTCGCCGACGAACTGCTCGCGTAGCCTTGCGTTCAGATCTCCAAAAATGACCTGAGGTCCATGTGCCGATGTCTCCCACACCAAATCAGGATGATCGTTGAACAACAGCTTTGCCTGTTTAGTAACATGCGTGCCAATATATGGAACGCAGGCTGAAAATATTGCGGCTTAGCCACTGGGAACTCGTAGTCTCAGCGACGCAACTCGGGAAGCCACTTGACGGAATGCAATAACTAATGGATTTCACATCGACTGGCACAACTATGAAACCGACGCCTGCTTGGTCCTCGATTCTACATACTCTGCTCGCAGGCCCCCCCAGGTAGCACAAACAATTACCCCGCATCTGTGACAAAAGTGCTTGCTAAAGTTTGCCATGCATTTTGAGTGCAGAATGCACCCATGCTCCCTCCTTCCATGATAGTTCGTGCTCCACTTGCCTTGCAATGGCGTACCCCTCGATGCTCCACGAAACAATCATGAAGTCCGCGCCGGAGGGCGCAAACGGCCGCCCCGGTCTGCGGCAAGAGGCCTCTCGGTTAAACTACTCGGCCCAACATGCACTGCAGTATCGTGAGGGTCTGGCTGGCGCGCCCGGCAAAAAGAAAGGGCCCCAGAGCTCCGGTGCGAAACGTCAATGCTGCCGCCCCGCTGGCGCCCCTACTTGCTGCGATGTCCGCCACAGTGCCCTGGAGGAGTCCCCTTGGCGAAGCAACGGTAGCGAGCTTGTCGGTAAGTGTAACAATGAGGTTCAAGAAATCGGGGGTACGCTGCTTCGACTCCGAACCATGACCGTAAGCCACGTTGAGTTTGCCTCCGTTGATCGTAGCACGGGCCACCATCTCCGCTCCTAGCTAGGCCCAGCAGATCACCGTCGCCCTATAACAGCACTGCTTCAACAGATGCGTCCAGCCAAACGCGAATGAGGTGATCATCCGCTTGGGGAAGGGCTTGTCCGCGTTCGCCCAGACTCTGCTGCCACCTTCTTGGAAAGATGCTTTGGGAAATAGACCCACAACCGCGTGTCGATCCCCCGTGCGAAGAAATCTAACGAAAACCACGCCCCAGACTTCCCCTTTCGTGTACACATCTTTCGGCTGTGGGCCATACCCGTCCCAGAAAGTGTTCCCCAACCACCCCCTCACATTCTCACAAGCCTCGAACGACAACAACCCTCCGATCACGACTGTCGTCGATGTCCGGGTTCGGGTGTTGGTAGGCGCGCGGGCCGTCGCCCATCTCGTGCATTAGACTGACGAGCCGGCGTCGAGAAGTACTCTCACGTTATACTGCAACTGGAGTCACTGCTCGCGGCATCTGCCATTGTAGCTCTGGGAGGTACGGATGTGGGAAAGGGAAGGTGATGGCCATTTTGACTAAAGAAAAAAATAGAAAACTTGGCTGACAGACTGACTTCAGGCGCCAGAAGGGTAACGCATATCGGCGCCGCCACCTGTTTTGCTCGATGGCCCCCAAAAGAGAGCCCAACAAGAGCCCCAAGAGGACCAAACGGCTCCCAAAAAGGCCCTAAGAGAATTCCATGATGAGTCCCAGAGGCCTACGAGAGGCTCCAAAACGTAATCTGTGTTCACCATTACCGGCCTCTTTGTCAGACGATTTGCTGCTACACTTCCCTTCTCCCGACATCCCTTCTGGGCATCGTTTCTACATGGGCTGATGGGGATACAGTCGGATTTGATTGGACAGGACACCCGAGAGGACACAAGACTCTTCCGACGGCAACGTTGCCTGGGAAGACCAAGGACTTGCGGGTTGCATAGGCCGGGGCAGACAGGACACGAGGATACCCTCGACTCAACATGGTCGACCTACCAATCAATCGGCGGTGGACAAACCTCCCTTTAGTAAACCTCCCCTTAGTGAAAACGGCCTGGGACCGAAACCGACGGACCTGGACCCACAAATTCGACGGCCGCGACGCCCCCTCGCGAACCGAAAACGGCCAATTCGCTAATCGACGTGTCAGGGTTGGAGGTCTGTCAACCTCCGAATCAAGGCAGATTGCACGCGAAGCGACAAGAATCACCAGACTCTGGACCCCGAGTGGCAGCATCCACCAAGAGCGGGGCGGGATCGGGGGGCGGAAGGCGGAGCGATGCAAGGAAGCGGGAGGGGCAGCGGGAGATAGTCAACCCGTGGAATAAGGATGTGCGATAAGGACGCAAGGGCCTTGGACGCCCACTTCGCAGCTTTTCGAGCGGGGCGCGGCCAACGAGAGCGGCCAAGGATGGGCCGAAGGGCAAGGATGCAAGGGTACCCTTGGGAAGGTTGTCCATCCTTACTATGCGCGTTGACTGTAGGGCAGGGAAGGGACAGGAGGGGAACGCACCCAGGTACAGGAATCGAAAGGAGGGGCGCAGAACGCACACGAGCAGTGTCCGCGCATCGAGGGCAGAGAACTCATGCTTCTGCCCCCGAGCAAATGCTCACACCTATCTGTGCGACAAGCAGGCCAAGTGCACACGGTGCCTACGCCAGGTGGCAGCATGAGGCTGTGCATGTAGTCGACGATGTCCGCCTGCTCGCCGGCACACATCGGGGCCGCAGAGGTGAGGACCGCCCAGAGAGGCCCACACCAACAGAAGCACAGAACAACAGTATGCGAGACATCGTACTTGAAGGGGCCCTGGGACACACAAATAAGTAGACACAAAAAACAGGATTCTCCATATTTCCCCGTTGTGTGCTTTTTTCCCCTCCTGAGCACTGCTGAACAGATCTGGTCTCCTGGTCGTTGCTGCCGATGTGTTCACTCCGTCGCCTTCGAGCCGACTCGGTGCGCTCCCCGGCGTCGGCAAGGCGGTCGCGCGCTCTCTCTCTCTCTCTCTCTCTCTCTCCCTCCCTCTCTCTCTCTCTCTCCCTCCTTCTCTCTTTCCCAACCTCGGGGGGGACGACAGATACCAAGGGGCAGGGTAGAAGATCGGCCCACGCAGCTGCACTTCCCGGCACCTCCTGGCGCCAGGAAGGCGCCGTGATGGCGCCCGTGCAGCGAGGAATGGACCCGGCGGCGGGGTCGAAACCAGCTGCATGCAGCAGAAGTCGTAACCCCCTCCGAGGCGGGAATTTATCCATAACCACCGCCTTGGGGGTCGATCTTCGCGGACCTCCGCAGGCGGTGGATGTATGGACAGATTCGGGCCCCTGGGCGCCAAGATATGTCCATCTCCACCGCCCGCCGGGGCACCAGGACGTCGGTTCCCAGGCGGTGGATATGGATAAATTGAGGTCGGGCCTGTCCCCCGACAGGGGGGATTTTGTGTGAACAAAAAAACACGTGGTCAAGAATTGTCAAAAAAACGTCCCCCGACTACTTTGTTGACTATTTTTGACTATTCCTCCTGTGGAGGGACAAACCCGACTTAAGGATAAACTCCCGCCTCGCACTCCCCCTTTCCCTGCCCTACCCTTGTGGATGCCACGACAGTGGACACTCTAGCAGTCCTGTCATTGAATTTAACATGTGTTTCAAATGTCGGGAAAATGTTCCAGACATGTTTAAACATGTTTTTTACATATCTAAAGCACGTTTGAACATCATTCAGACATCTGGACAGTATTTCGCAGCACGCTCCCTCTAGATGAACCGCGATGCACAGGACACAAGAGCACCCGGCGATACATCGGCGATGCATCGCCGATGTATCAGCGATGCATCGGCGATGCACTAGAGACGTCGGCGACGCATCGGCGACGTCGGCATGGGGAAACGAAGGTTCCGCATCGAGCCGCATCGCCGATGCATCAACGATGCGGCGCGATCCTCCGACCCCATCTACTCCGACCCCGTGAACCGACTTCCCCTGCCCTACAGTGGGGGCGTTGACCTGCGGAACCCTAAATAAGTAACGGGGCCCATATTTTCCATAAGTTGAACTTCGATTTCCGATCGAAAACATTAGGAAAACCTGAGGCAAGATGCGAAATACTTGAGGAACGCGGAGCCCCTCCCCAACGAAAAGGGTTCCTTCTTCAGGGCCCCGACTGTACCCCTCCGCCCGGCCCGACCAATCGCGTGTTGCCTCTGGCTCGCTCCGGGGCCGCCCCACTCGATGGCGGGGTCTCCCGGAGGAGGAGCGGCGGCACCTCTCCGCGGCACTCCCGCGGCGGGGGGCTGCCCGGCGCTCCCCCTCCGCGGGCCCTTGCGGGCGGCCGACAGCGGGGCGGGGGACAGAGGAAAACGCGACCGCGACCACCCGTCTGTGGGAAAAAACACACTGTGGGGAAAAAAAAACACTGCTTTTTCCCACAGTGTGTTTTTTTCCCACAGTGTGTGTTTTTCCCACGTGTGTTTTTTCCCACAGACTGTGTTTTTTCCCACAGGCTCTTCTCAGCACGTTCCGGCGGAGCCCGGCCGGAACGTCCTTCCAGCGATTCGCCCCCCCTCCACACTCGGCGGTGGACAAACCTCCCTTCAGTAAACCTCCCCTTAGTGAAAACGGCTCAGGACCGAAACCGACGGACCTGGACCCGCAAGCACGACGGCCGCGGCGCCCTCTCGCGAACCGGAAGCGGCCAGTTCGCGAATCGACGTGTCAGGGCAGGAGGTCTATCCACCACGCCGCACGGGTGTTTCTGGCAGGCGACCCCGAGCCGCACGGACACCAGGTCGCAGGTCCGTCGGAGTCTGTCGCGCAATCTCCGCCTGATATTTCCAGTACTGATCACAGGAACAGCGACTTCGTCTCCCTGAAGGCAGCGGCGATCCAAGGCAAAAATACGGAGCTTCACTCCTAGCTCAAAACGACCACTCGTCGCGCGAAGCGCACCCTTAATAAAAAACCTGTTCGCCTCTCCTCTGGATCACGAAACTGCCCACGGTGGGCATCGGACGGAGGAAGCAGGTAGGAGCCTGCGGCAGAAAGGCGTGGAGAATGGGTTGGGTTCCCGCAGACGCCTCAGGCAGATTGGAATCTGCAGACCCATGAATACAAACTTGGAACGACCAATGGGTAGCTGCCTGTCCTCCACTCGCACCTCGCACCCCTCACAGGCAAGAACCCCAACGCCGAGGGCCGCCTTCCCGTAGGGCCCCGTGTAGGCGCCCGTCTCGTTGCCGTCCTGCTCCGGGCGAGCGGAGGCAGGCAGGCAGGCGCCGGGGAGCCTCCCTCCCGAGCTCTGGGCGCCGCTGCGGCCGGTGCCGGTGCTGCCGCCGCTGCCGCCGCTGCCGCCGCTGCCGCCGCGCCGCACGGGCTCCGGGTCCTTTGGGGTTGGCTCCGTGTGCCGAAGCTGAGATGCCCAGGCCCTGCCTCCCGCCTCGAAGCGCACCCCAGGGTGGCAGCCGAGCCAGGAGCCGGTGGGGGAGCAGGGAGATGAGGGAGGGGGGCAGGAGGGAGAAGGGTGGAGGAGGAGGGCGAGTGGAGAAGAGAAGGAGAGGAGGAGGAGGGAGGAATGAGAAAGGAAGAGGTCTGCTCCCTGTCAATCCCTCATCCTCGCCCTCCTGCCCCCTCCTCCGCATGTTGCTCCTCGTCATCCTGTTCGTTTCCTTTTTCCTTCTGGGAGGAGGCGGCGCGCAAGCTACGCGACAAAAACAGCCGCGCACGAACTCCGCCGTAAGAGGAGAGCAAGGGCGGCAACTCCTTGAAGACCAGAAAGGTGCAGTGGTCTTTCACCTCACTTTCAGGGCATGGGGAGAGGCAAGAATGAAGAAAGTAGGATGGAGGGAGGAAGGAGGGAGAAAGGAGGGAAGGAGTAGGTAGTGACGGAGGTAGAGAACGACGAAAAGCCGACTGAGCCAGCAGGACCGGCTGCAATGCACCCAATCATTTCGACCACGTTTCAGTTTCTGTCTTAGTCATACGTCGTGATCGTTGACGTGTGTTCAACGATGTTGTAGCAATATTCCTGTATGCTGTCTCTCGCACGCGTCGTGAAGCCTCTTGCGAGGCCTCCCGTGCGTCTCTTGGGTCGTTTTGGGAGACAATTGAATCGTCTTTGGAACTTCCTGCAGCCCGCAACATACCAGCAGTGCTTCAGAAATGCACGGACGATTCGATCCGGCCAAAGGCGACACTGTCTGCCCCTCGGAAAGCCTGGCCGACCTCGAGCAGCGTGGAGAATTGAAGCATGCAACACCTCAGCGCCTGGCTCCCAGGATATCAGTCAAGATTTTGGACGGCTGACCGCTCTCTTCCACCCATCTCCGACCCCGTCCTCACCCGGGATCTCCTCGTCAGATCCCTGCTCACTCTGCCCTGCTGCTGCTGTTTCGCCTCCTGCCCCTCCGAGCTCCCGCACCTCCGCTCCTCCCCTTCCTCCTCTTCCCCTCACCCCTCCTGATCCCCATCCTCCGGCTCGTCGCTGTCGCAGCAAACACCACAGCCAGCACCCTCGTCGACCGCATCGTCCCCGTCGCCTCCCCCCTCCCTCTTGCTCTCTTGCCTGACCTGTCACGCGACTGTCACGACATCAGGTGGGCGGCCTCGCGCGAGGTCAGGGGTATCTCGGAAGCAACCCTCGGCCCACCCGTTCCTCGCTCGGCGCCCCCCCCCGGTCGCCTTGTACTTGGCCTTCAGCTCCGCCTCCGCGACGGAGTCCACCTCGCGGGCTCGCGGGCGAACGACAGCAGGGCGGAGGACAGAGGAAAACGCGACCGCGACCACCCCTGCCCCCCTCCACACTCGGCGGTGGGCAAACCTCCATTCGGTAAAGTAAACCTCCATTTAGTGAAAACGGCCCAGGACCGAAACCGACGGACCTGGACCCGCAAGCACGACGGCCGCGGCGCCCTCTCGCGAACCGGAAACGGCCAGTTCGCTAATCGACGTGTCAAGGTACTCCAGATGTCGTTATAAAAAGGGAGGGGGTCTGGACCCTCCAAGACAAGCCATTTCAGACCTCCCCCGTGGGAGAACTCTCCGAAACATCGTCCCCAGACCCCCCCAGGCCCTCCAAGATAGCCCTCCAAGGACGAAATCTGGAGTAAACAAGCGAGTTCGGAGGTGTGTCGGAGGCTGAAAGGACCTCCTCCTCCTCCAGATTTCGTAAGAAAGGGAGGGGGGGTCTCATTTTTTGGGGGGGTCTCTTCCAGGCTATCTTGGAGGGCCTGGGGGGGTCTGGGGACGATGTTGTGGAGGGTTCTCCCACGGGGGGGGGTCTGAAATGGCACGTCTTGGAGGGTCCAGAGCCCCTCCCTTTTATTACGACATCTGGAGTAAGCAAGCGGGCTCCACTGCTCGCAAAGGAACTACTCGCCGATGGCCTGGTTCCCCGCGGAGGGTCTACGATACATTACATCAGAGCAGACAAGTGTTTTTTGTCGGAGGTTTGCGAGTGGGCACTTTTTGCGAGTAGTGGAACGCGCTCGGCGATAAGGACGCAAGCGGGCCTGGGCCAGCGCACACGTTGCGCACGTGCGCTTGCACCATCGGGGAACGTGTCCTGCAGCTGCCGTGCCGTCGTACCGTTCTGAGGACGTGCTCGGCACACGCCTTCTGCAGCATGGGGCCCAGAAACCTCGCCAGGGGGGCCAGGAGATGTCCCCCCCCAGGCGTCCTCACCGAACCAGGCCCGGAACCTCCGCGCTCGCGGCCCACAGGTCGCCCACCGAAGCGACCGAGGCTCCTCGTGGCAGGAAGCGCTGCCGCACGCTCCGCCAGCGCTAGAAGCCGGCCCCCCTGTGGAAGCAGCTCCGGCGGACGCGCGAAAATGAAGGGGCCCCAGGACACACAAAGAAATACACACAAATAAACAGATTCCCCGTATTTTTCCATATCTTCTGGGTCTCTGTCTTCCCCCCCCCACTTCCCATATCTTCCCATATTTTCCTTGGACTCGACGATGAAGTGTGTCTGTGTGTCTTTTTCCCTCCTAAAAAAAGAGACGGCTCGACGATTAATTGTGTCTGTGTGCTTTTTTCCCTCCTCAGCAAGGAGACGGGCGGCGGCAGCAGGGCACGTCGCAGCGCGGGCGTCCCACCAGAAGCCCCCACACAGGCCGGCGGCACCAGGGGGGGCCTGGCGGCCACGCAGGCATCGAGGCCCCAGAGATGCCACGCCCCACGGCGCGGCGCGCAGGACACGCGCACGTTTCTCATTACTCGCGATAACGCCAGAGAACAACGCCAGCCCCCGCCCTCTGCCCCCCCTTGGTCACGTCACGATTCGTGCCGGCGCCGTGTGGCAATGAACAATCCCCAAGCATTCACGGACGGCGCCGGCGCGAATCGTAGTGTGGCCACCCACGCGCCTGGGAGGGTGCCCGGAACGGGGCAGCTGAAAAGTAGTAAGCCACGCGGGAGCTACAGAGCGCGCACACATGGAGGTCCCGCTCGGGACCCGACGCGCAGACGCTAGCATGCAACATCTAATATACACGTTCGTCGCCAAAGCGGGTCAAAGGCGTGCTAAGATCTGCGGCGAAAGTTTCATAAATTACTGTAAATTAAAACTTCACGTGCGCAGGGTGGCCCATGTGGGTCCCCGGGCTTAAACTACCCCAGCAATGACCCGGGAAACTCGAGTGAGATATTGCGATTCTGGCGGCGGCCTCCAAGACCCCCAGGACAGCTTCAGGATCCCCCCAAGGGAACTCTAGCCGAGCCTAAGACTGGCCATGAACGGGGATAAATGGGAGGCAGGCCCCAAAATGGCCCCGACGTGGCCCAAAATAGTTTCAGACGGCCGCATCTGAACCCCCCGGAAGCCAAAATCACAAGAACCTCTTCAGTTTTCCAATGGCTGCGGTTTCTGTACAGTTATGATGCGCGTGGGATTTTCAGGCTCAAGATGGACGCGCGATCTGAAGCGTCAACATGGCTCCAACATCGCTCAATATGGTTCCTAAGTGGGGTTGGAAGGAAGGGCTCAAAGAGGGCGCAGAAGAAACCCAGAATCACTCATGGAGAAGCCCAAGATAACTCGAAAAGAGCCCAACCGCGGCCCAGGAGAATAATGAATGGGTAGCAGGCCGCAAGGTGACCCCAAGACATCGCCAAGAGGCCCCAAGATATATCCGAGCTACCCCAAGACAAACCTCAAGAGGCCCCTAGCAGGCCTCATGCTCTGAAGGCGTGCGCCAGATGGTCAGAAGATCCTGACAGTATGACTCGTAGATGATTTAACCATCGTCAATTGATATACTGTCTCAGCGGCTTGGATTTTCACGGGCACGGACATCATGTACACGTGTGTCAGCTAAGCGAAGACTACTAGTACAGTCGGGGCGTTGACCTAAGGAACCCAAAATAAGGAACGAGGTCCCGTTTCCACAAGTTATACTTCGATTTCCTATCGGAAACATAAGGAAAACCTGAGGCGAGCTGTGAAACACTTAAGGAACGCGGAGCCCCTCCCCAACGAAAAGGGTTCCTTCTGCAGGGCCCCGACTGTAACTGAGATGGTGGTGCAAGCGCGCGGAAGGGGATCGCGCGCGCCCCGCTTTTCCACCCGCTCGCACCCCAGCGCAGCTGCGGCACGCGCGATGGCCAATGTCAGTGTTCATTGGCGGCGGCGGCGGCAGCGGCGACGGCAAGGACGGAGCCAGGTTGCCTCCCCCCGCGGCAGCATGCGCAGGCCTAGCCACAACTCACCTCGGAGTTGCCAGACCTCGCGCAATCCATAGGAACGTCGCCCCCACCCCAGCGCCACCCCCGAATGCGTTTTTACGGCGCGCGGGGCGGCTACTCCCGGCAAATCCTCGAAGCGGGCCAGAGCAGACTGGCGTATCCCACACATGATACAGCGCGCCAAATCATCGCAATGTCCTTGGTCAGACACTTTGTCTTGGTCTCCAACACATGTAGTCCCTGGGCAATGCGAGGCCGAGATCACGCGTTCATATCCAAAGCAACGCGCCGCACGCACGTTCCGAAAGTAATCAGCAGTCGATGAATCATCTTCATCCAGCAACAGATAGCAGAGCTGCATGTGCAGCACCTTGTTTCTCTTACAAGTTCCTGTTGTGGGGGAGAACTTGTAGTTGCAATCACGCACACTCTACCACTGCCATTTGCGATTGCACTGACGGTCTACCCACCACCCTTTTCCGACCCAGTACTACTGATCAGTAGTGCTGATCAGTATCCCAATTCCCAGTCTCAAAATTGTCGCGCTCCCTCTGGATGATGCGACCTCTCTGCTTCATCACCCGGGATGCCGCGCAAACCGTGGCCATTGACGGCCCGTCCACAAGAAACGTAACGTCACCGACACGGAACATCTGTGCTTCTAGCCTCAGGTGGCGGCCAACCTCCGGCGCCCCTGGGGGGCAGGTCTCATCGGGGGCGACGGTCCAGACGAGCGGCGATCAGGCGGTGGCGGAAGAAAAGGAACCATATCTCCCCATCGGGGGCGGCTACCGTTTGAACCGGCAGCCGCACCGGGGGGCACCGTCCGCCTGCATTGCAGCATCCGAGCCCGGAGCAACAACTGATATACGGTCTCAGTGGCCTGGATCTTCACGGACTCGGCCATTATGTAAAAGCATGTCCGTTAAGCAGGGACTACTAGTATAAGTGAGACGGTGGTGTAAGCGCGCGGAGGGGATACCGCGCGCTCTCTTTTCCACCTACTCGCAGCCCACCACAACTGCGGCAGACACGATGACCAATATCAATGTTCAATGGCGGCGGCGGCGGCAGCGGGCGACGGCAGGGACGGAGCCAGATTAACTTCTAAACGTCGCTTGTACTTCAATGATCTGGGTTGTATCGCATGGTTGCTTCCTCTCTGCTTGTCAGGCCTCAGGATGGCCCAGACATCGCCCGAGAGGGTCCCGAGCTGGGGCTGGAGAGGCCCCGGGAGTGGGGCTCCGAAAGCCCCCCGAGAGAGCACCCGGAGAGCTTCCCCCCTGCCACAGAACTGGGCAAGACTGGGGATTTGAAGATGGCGGGCCCCACGGTACCCCCGAGACAGCACACGCAGGCCCCAAGACGGCCCCAGTGTGGCCCAGGGTGGTCCAAGCAGCCCGCAGGACTCCAGACGCAGCCCGCGGACTCAGATCACGTAAACAGCTAAACTTGTCCGGTGAGTTTGGATGTCTCCCCCTCTCAGTTCCCATAGGCTCACGCAGCTTCAGGGTGGCTCCAACATCGCCCACGGCAGCTCCAAGAGTGGCCCAGAGGAGCTGGAGGAGAGAACTCCCGCAGAGATCCGACAGCGCGCCGAACAAGACACGAACGCTAAAAGGCCCACGCAAGGCTCCAAAGCCCCAGAGGCACCTGCAATGAGCCGCTGGACACATCCCAAAGACTTCCATGAATACCCCACGTAATCATCGCCAATGCAAGTTTAAGTCATGCCTTCATAGAAATGCACGCTCCTTTCCGCGTGCACCTGTTTGACCCCTCGTGGCAGTGCCCCTCACCCATGGCACGCCCCCAACCTACCCACATGCCAACAGTGAGACAGCATGGGCCAGCGGAAGGGGGGGCGAACCGAGCAAATAGGCTCTGCAAGGAGACGCATATACAACACATTGCTGTTCGTGTACGCACTGCCCTTCGCAATCAACTGCGAGGCGGGGATTTATCCAGATCACCGCGTGGGAACCGACGTCCTGGTGCCCCAGCGGGCGGTGGATATGGATATATTTCAGCCCCCGGGGGCCCGAATATGTCCATATCCACTGCCTGCCGAGGCTCCGAGAACTGACCCTCCGGGCGGTGGTCATGTATAAATTCCCGCCTCGGGTCCACCGACCGGTGGCTCCGGCATACGAGCACGCCGCGACGCAGCAGAGCGCTCGTCACCACGGCGCCCGCCGAAGGCCTGGCCCCGCCGAAGGCCTCGGCCCCGCCCGTGGGGCACGAGCACTCCTCTTGCCCGTCTCGGCTCCGCTTGCCGAGCTCCGTCGGGAGAGGCTGCCCCCTCGCGGGGGAGGAGGAGGAGGAGGAGGAGGAGGAGGAGGAGGAGGACCCGTCGACTCACCGCCGCCCTCAGCAACATGGCGTGGCCGCCCGAAGCAGGGCCAGGGTTAGGTCGGGCCTGTCCCCCCGCAGGGGGATTTCTGGCGAAAAATTCACAAAAGACTCAAACTATTCGAGCAGGATCGAAAAATACTACAGAAATCGTCCCCAGACTGTTTTTTTTTTTGACTATTTTCGAATATTCCCCCTGTAGAGGGACAAGCCTGGCTTAATGCTGGAGAGTGGGGGGGCGTGCCTTGGCGAGGCGAGGGCCGTCCGTGCTCGCCTTCTTGAGCGCCTTCGCGGCCTCGCAGGCGCGGGGGCGCAAGGAGGCAAGACAGGGCTGGATCGGAGGCGGCAACGGCACTGGACGGCGGCGAGTTGGCCTCGCAACGGCCCGGGTCCGCGTCCCACTGCTCCGCTCGTCCTGTCTTCGTCGTCGTCCTCCTCATCCTCTTCATCCCCATCATCCTCCTCACCCTGGTTCAACTCAGGCGTACCCGAATATCTCCTCTTGCATCATCACCACCTCCGCCTTCCACCTTCTCGTCATAATCCTCAGCAGCAGAATCACTGGTGAGAAGCTCGTTCGACCCCCTGTGTTCTTGCACGCGCACGACAAAAGGATCGAGGCCGAACCAGCATGCCAATGATCAGCACTATGTCTTTCCCGCTGTCTTTCTCCCTCTCTTTCTTCATCATGTCTCTCTCTCTCTCTCTCCCACCTCAGTTAGCCCTATACGACCACCCTTCGGGTGATAATGAGGTTGTGGGGGGGGAGAGGGGGGGAACCACCATCTGACTCAATCGATCTCACTATCGATCTCACTCAACGGGACACCACTGGACACCACGGGACACTTGTCGATCTCACTATCGATCTCACCATCGATCTCACTGAACGGGACACCACGGGACACCACGGGACACCGCGGGACACCTCTCGATCTCACTATCGGTCTCACTATCGATCTCCCTATCGATATCACTCGATCTCACAATCGATATCACTAGTCATCTCCCTATTGATCTCACTATCGATCTCACGATCGATCTAACTATCGGTCTCACTATCGATCTCACTATCGATCTCACAATCGATTTCGTCATCGGTCCCACTATCGTTCTCGCACCAGCGGGACACCGGGACACCGGCGGGAGGAGGAGGAGTGACCCTCAAAACCTCATCCTCACCCCGTCCATGGTCATCATCACCATCATCATCATCATCATCATCATCATCATCATCATCATCATCATCATCCATCATCATCATCATCATCATCATCATCATCATCATCATCATCATCCATCATCCGCGTCAGCATCATGTCACTCCGTCCTATCCTCCTCCTCCTCATCCTCCTCCTCGTCATCAGCACCGCCTCCTCCCCCTGATCATCTTCATCATCATCATCATCATCATAATCATCAGCATCATCATCATAATCAGCATCATCATCAGATCATCATCATCAGCAGCAGCAGCCTCATCTTCGTCATCACCATAATCAACAGCATCAGCATCAGCAGCAGCAGCATCAGCAGCAGCGTCATCAACATCCGCATCATCGTCGGCATCAGTGCAATCATCAGCATCGCCATCAGCATCGTCATCATCATCAGCACCAGCAACACCAGCAGCACCATCATCAGCATAATCAGCACAATCGCCATCATCACCTCCACCTCCTCCTCCAACTCCTCCTCCTCCTCCTCATCATCATCAGCATCATCATCAGCAGCAGCACCGTCATCATCATCAGCATCAGCGTCAGCAGCATCATCAACATCATCAGCATCGTCATCAGCAGCATCATCTTCATCAACATCGCCATCATAAGCAGCATCATCATCCTCATCAGCAATATCCTCATCATCATCAGCATCATCAGCATCATCATCAGCAACATCATCAACAGCATCATATCAGCCTCCGCATCACCATCATCATTAACCGCATCAGCATCAGCATCGGCATCAGTGGGATAAGCAGCATCGCAGTCAGCATCATCAGTCGCATGGTCATCAGCATGATCAGCAGAACCACCATTGTCACCAGTATCGTCACAATCATCATCAGCAGCACCATCAGCATCATAAGTATCAGCATCAGCAGCATCATCATTATCAGCAGCATCATAATCATGATCGTCACCATCATCATCTATCAGCATCAACATCATCAGCATCATCAGGATCACCAGCATCGTCCTCAGCATCAGCATCATCATCCTCATCAGCATCATCCTCATCATCTTCAGCAGCAGCATCATCAATAGCATCAGAACCAGCATCAGCATTGACATCAGTGGAGTAATCAGTATCGCCGTCAGCATCGTCATCTGCATCATCGGCAGCCCAACCATCAGCATCATAAGCACCATCCAACAGCAACAGCATGACAATCGTTAGCATCAGCATCCTCATCATCAGCATCAACCTCAGCATCCTAATCAGCATCGTCGTCGTCACCCTCAGCAAAGTCATCCTCAGCAGCAGCAGCATCAGCCCCCCCCCGCCTCGCCCCGTCCAATAAGGCATGTGATGATAGACATGACTGACAAAGGGGGGAGGAGCGGGAGGAAGGTGACGAGGAGGCGAAGGATCGATGGTAGCAGGTGGTGGAGGTTGAAGAGGAAGGGGAGTTACTCGTAAACATCCTGATATTCCTCCTTCTCCTCCTCCTCATCATCATCAGCAGCAGCAGCATCCTCAACAGCATCAGCATCATCAGCATCACCAGCAGCATCATCACCATCATCGGCATCATCACCATCATCATCATCATCATCAGCATCGTCGTCAGGATCGTCACCATCATCATCATCAGCAGCAGCAGCAGCAGCAGCGACAACGTCCCGTCATTAGCAAACCATCCCCCCTCCAAGGCTATTACCATGCCACCACTCACACGCGCCGCCCCCAACTCCCCCTCCTACCCCACACAGAGAGGAGGGGGATGGACATGTATACGAGGGTGCCGAGCAGGGTCAAAAGGGAAGAGGAGAGTGAGCCATGAGGAACATGAGGAGGAGGTGGAGGAGGTGAGCCATCACCCTCCGCTCCTCCTGCTCCTCCTCCTCCTCCTGAACCTCCTCCTCTTACTACTCCTCCTCCTCCTTCTCCTCCTCCTCGAATCCCTCTGCTGCCTCCTCCTAACATGCCCCCTCCTCGTCGTCCCTCCCACCATGGAAGAGATACGGAGACGATGAGGATGATGCATACGAGGATGAACAGGAGGAGGACGGCCGATGGGAGTAGGAGGACGATGAGGAGTGGTTCCTCAGACTTCTCTTCCTCCTCTTCCTCCTCAGCTTGCTGGCCCTCCTCCACTGCCAATCGTGCCGCTCCTCCTCCTCGAGCTCCTCATCAGTGTATCAGTACTCCTCCTCCTCCTCCTCAACCTCCTCCTCCTGCTCCTCCTCCTCCTCCCCCGGTAAGAATGACAGAGGGAGGGTGACAGGGGATGGGAAGTAGGGAGGAGACATGAAAGTGGTAGGAGGGTGAGGAGGATGCGAGAGAAGAGTGATGTCATCAGTCATCCTGGTTCTCCGCCCCCGCATCCCCGTCCTCCGCCTGTTCCTTCTCCTGCGCCTCGTTTTCATCCTCCTCCTCCTCCTCCTCCTCCTCCTCGTCCTCCTCCTCCTTCTCTTGCTGCGGCTGCTCCTCCTCCCCCTCATCCTCCTACTCCGTCCTCCTCCTCCTCCTCCTCCGCCTCCTCCTCCATCTCGTCCCAATAATGATCCCCTATACGGAGCATAATCAAACAAAACCGTAGGAGAAAACAAACCAAACAAAACAAGAAACTCGCACTAACCTGGGGGTGTTGGGGGGGAAGGGAAGGAGTCCTTCAGGAGTGATGTTGGTTGCGTGTGTTGGTGCTGTTGTTGGTGGTGGTAGTGCTGGTGTTAATGCCGCATTTTTTGTTGGTGCTGCATTTGTTGGTGCTGCTGTTGGTGCAGTTGGTGGTGGTGGTGGTGGCGCTATTGTTGGTGGTGTTGTTGCCGTTGTTGTTCACAGTGCCGGAGTTGTTGTTGGTAATCCGTGCTGCTTTCGCTTGATTGGGAGAAAGAGGAGGAGGAGGAGGAGGAGGGGAAGGAGAAGGAGGGAAAGAGAGAGAGGGAAGGAACGGAGGAGCGAAACGGAGGTGAAAGAGGCCATGCTGTGGTTTTCCTAAAAACGCAGGGGGGGCCAAACGAGCCCGAAACCGAACCACCTTCACAACCACGATCAATAGGCTGGCCATCATCATCATCATCATCAGCATCATCATCATCATCATCATCATCAGCATCATCATCATCATCAGCATCATCAGCATAATCATCATCAGCATCAGCAGCATCAGCAGCAGCAGCAGCAGCATCAGCATCGTCATCGTCATCATCATCATCATCATCATCATCATCATCATCATCATCATCATCAGCATCAGCATCATCATCATCATCATCGACATCATCAGCAGCATCAGCATCCTTACCATCGTCGTTATCGTCATCATCACCATCATCATCATCGCCATCATCAACATCATCATCATCATCAGCAGCAGCACCACTATCATTGCCAGCATCACCATCAGCATCATCACTATCAGCATCAGCAGCATCATCAGCAGCAGCATCACCATCATCATAATCAGCAACAACATCATCATGGTCAGCATCATCAGTATCATCATCATCATCATCATCATCATCATCATCATCAGCATCATCATCATCATCAGTATCGTCATCATAATCGTCATCAACATCATCATTGATCCTCCAGCTTCTCGCTCCTCATTGCTTCTCCTCGCTCATCGCTTCCCTCGCTCCTCTTTCCTCTTCCTGTTCCTCCTCCTCCTCCTCCGCCTCCTCTTCCTCCTCCTCATGCTGCGTCTACAGCCTCTCAAACACAATTTCCTGCCTACTCCTGCGTATGGTCCTAATCACGTTACCGTTCCATCCTCCTCCTCCGTCTATTCCTCCTCCTGCTCGTACTCTCTCCCCCATGCATGCATCGTGTTCGAACGACGCCCCCCTCCCTCCTCGGCCTCCAGCGCTGACGTCACCACCTTCGATGTCTTGCACCGCCAGCCTGCCCGACGGCGCGCTCCGTCGCGGATGCCCACACCGATGGGCGCCCGCCTGCACGACCAGCCTTAAGCAACCGAGCTGCTCCTCGCGACAGTGCTGGCGCCCCTGCTGCAGTCTCCTCTCCTCCTCCTCCTCCTCCCTCCTCCTCCTCCTCCTCCTCCTTCTCCTCCTCCTCCTCCTCCACCACATCCACCTCCTCCTCCTCCACCTCCTCCTCCTCCTCCTCCTCCTACCCCGCTCGCTGCCCACGACCCCCTCCGAGCGCCCCCCCTGCGGCCCACCCCGCCAGCCTTGTCGTAGATCTTCGACAGCGCCTTGCACTTCGTGTCGCCAGGGCTCTCGAACTGGACGGCGGAGGGAGACGAAGAGAACCACAGGAGGAGGAGCAGACGACCAGCAACGTGCACTGCTCATGCCCCTCTGAACACAGCCTTTCCCTCTGGCTCGACCTGTGAACCCAGCCAGACTCAACCGCCCCCCTGGATCACCAACCAACGTGGGGCTGCGGATTCCACCCGCTCCTCCCTGGGGTAGAGATGGTGGGCAAGCACGCAAGCTTGCCGCAGGCGCCAACGATCCCTCCTGCCCGACTGCATGCAAACAATGCTTGCCGATATTTGCAGGAGAACCCTCAAGGCATCGCGACAGACCCAAACTTGGGTCTCAGATGCAACTGCGAGTGCAATTTCGCATGCGCTGGCCTGTGGCACTCTCTGGAGAATGAACACACCCACCAGACCTCTGAGCGTAGGTGGTTTGGGGGACTACTTCGCCCGACTCCTTCTCCCCCTTCCCCCTTGCCAGAAGACGTCACCCCATCGCCGAGCGCAGCCTCCTGGGAAGCGGTCGCAAGGTCTCCCAGAAGCCTCCCGTGGGCATCTTGGGGCCATCCTGGGGGCCTCTTGGGAGCACTTGGGCGCCTGATAGGGGCCGTTCTGGGTGCCGAGGACGCTTGGCGCTGTTCCTCTTCCATGGGAGCAGCTTGGGGCCCCCTTGATTGAGAGGCCCTCTTTAGACCCTTGGGTCCTTTGCTGGGGCCATCTAGGGTCCAGGGCCCCTTCAAGGCCCGTCTTGAGCTCTTTGGGCGTGGACGCGGGGAAGCGTGGAAAAGAGACGACACCATCTCACTTGGGAGCCACGGCCGTCCAAAGGAAGCCCGCCCCCGACCGTCCCCGAAGTCACTGCGTGGGGGGCGGCCCCTCCACGCTGCTGTGCAGATCGGCCTCCCCCGGCCGATCCCCCAGCCCGGAGGGCGGCTCCCATCCGCCTCCGCCTGAAAAACGAACTGCCCCCCCACCCCCAGGTGGTGACGGAGGGCGGGCGGGCGAGCGGGCTGGCTGACAGGCGGGCTGGATGACTGGGTTGACTCGGCTGGCTAACGGGATCGCCAGGGAACTGAGGCCACTGCTACAACCTGCCTGGTTCCCCTTCTTGACGCGGCAATATTAATTGGCCGCTTCCACCGGCGCCGGGCCCGGGGCGTTTGGGGTGAACCGAATGCCAGAAATTACTATCATTCGCCGCCCCCTTTGGCACTGGCCAGGCAAGCGCAGAAGGCGGCTGCGGATGGGTGCCCACCACGGCCCCATGAAGCTAACGCCGTCCCCGCCGGCGCTGGCCTGGCATACGAAAAAGGCGGCTGTCAATGCTGGGCAAAACCTCGGCAAACCCCACGCCGGCCCCACCGCTCTGGCCCGGCACGCGCGAGAAGCGGCCGTGGATGCCGAGCGTGGGCCCGCGGGGGCATTGCCGAGTGCAGGGAGTCCCGCCCGCCTGGTCCTCGTCGGCTGCGGCTTCCAATCGTCAGACTCGTTGTAGGTTGCGCTGGAGGTTGCGCACACAGAGCACCATTCGTGGCGCAGCAGGAGGGCCGTAGGTGATCTCGAACATCACACGGCAGATCGACGCGATACGTCCTGCACCCTCAGCACGGGGACCTTGAAAACCATCGGTCACTGCACTGCGCGCCTTCCGAACACCGCATTGGGTCGTGGGCGCCGCCAGCCCTGCGCGGCGCCGGAAAACTTCTCGCGCCTGGTCGGCAAGAAACCTCGCGCTGCACATCGGCACATCGGCGCGGCGCCGACCTGGCGCTCCGAACCCACGCGCCCAACCAACTAAACAAGCCAGCGGCCACACATGTTTCGATCCACGTTTCCTCGCCACGCATGCGCGGGGCGTCCAGTAATGGCACAGGAAAGGAGGTAGCGGGGGAAAGCCAGAGGAAGCGGAGTGACGGCGACGATGGTCTGGCGGCGGTGTCCGGGCGCTGGCCATCGTGCCGCGTTATTACTGCGGCGCCGCTGCACTGTGCGAGTATTCGAGCCAGGCCAGGTGAATGGCGCGCTGTCAGCCAAGCGGCCCCGTTGGCGTAGCCCAACGCCTTGACCAAGTGCTGCGTTTGCTCGGGCACGACCACGCCCTTAAGTCAAGGTGTCGAGGGTCGCGCGGCGGCAAGTGTGCCGCGACGTTGGATGCGCCTGGCCGCCCTGGTGCCCAGCCGGCGCGGGCTCCCGCGTGCGCCATGGCCACGTGCTCGACCGAAGGTTCGGGCAGCTTCTCCGCGCACTTGGGGCACACCCGCCAGTGGCGCTGCAACGGCCCCAAGCGGTTATCACACCGCAGGGGCGCAGGAAGTTCGGCAGGTTCATAACCTCTCGACTTCGCTCACACGGTCTCCGCTGTCAGGGTTGGCAAAGTTGGCGGCGTTGCCCCTAACGTTCTTGGGGGACCAGGGCGACATGCCCACAGACGACCAACCCATGAGGATGCTCTCCTGAGAAAGCGCGTGAGCCAGGCCATTGCAAATGGCTCGGAGAGCGTTGAACTTCGTGACCTTGAAACCACGAGGCGCTTTCGCAGAGCGTGAAAGCCCTGGGCGAGCTTGACCTCGTGGGCGGCCATCCAGCACGGCCACCACGGAGCAGAGCTCACGCCCGCCAGCGTCGCAGAGCCGATCCTCCAGGCAGGGAGGTCCGCACAATGTCCGCACAAGGCACGCACGAAGGCCCGCGCAAGACGTTCGGGCCACCTGGCACCCCTCAAAGAATCGCTGACGCCCTACCTTAGTTACCCGGGCCACTTGCGCGACTTCTCGCGAAGCGCTTACGCGGAGGTCAAGCGGGCAGCTCGAGCCCAGGCTTGCGTGCAGGATTGCGCGGGCACCCTGCTGGCGAAGGCTCGGGCAGTGGAGTCACGATTTGCCCCGCCCACCTTGGGCTGCGCATGGGGGGGCCTGGTCTGGGTGTCCCAAAACCGTGTGGTGACAGACCCGGCGGTGACCACCTCACCGCAAGGTCCGTCACCACACGGCTTTGGGACCCTGGAGGCTCCAGTCGCCCGAGACATCCTCGGAGAACGACCCAAGTCCCAAAACCGTGCGGTGACCCCGAATCCCCACCGACTCACCACACGGTGTGGTCACCACCCCGTTTGGGAGCCCCCGACTGGTCCAGGGCAGAGAGGGGCGGCGCCATGCACCGCGGGAGGCACAGAAGCACGATGCCGCGCGTCTTGGGGCACTGGCACAGCACGAATCCCAGGTAGAGCGTATGCGGTGGCTCTCCCTGGGCCTGCGGGCCGCCCGAGTCGAGGAGGAGCCGGCCCAGCGGCGCGCGGCAGTCGGCGGGAGGTGGCCTCGAAGGCGGCCGCTGGGGCCCACCCCTCTCCTTTGCCGCCCCTGGAGGCGGCAAAGTTGGCTCTTAAAACGACGCGAAGATCGGGACAAAATCGGATCGGGATAACTCGAAATCTCGGAGAAGCGGCGGGTTTGGAGGATGTGTTGAGCGCCGCGGCCGCTCCAGAGCGTCTTATCCCGATCCTTGCCCTGTTTTAGCTCTGGCCCCAGTCCCGCGCACTCTTGCTCTGGCCTGGGGCCCGGCGGCGCTGGCCCCGCTGGCTGGGGGGGCGGCGCGGCCGTGAGCGGCGCGGGGGTTGCTGCCCCACCTGCTGCTGCCCCCGCAGGGCTCCAGGGCCGGGGCAAGCGCCGGAGGGGCAGCGGCGCCCGCGCCGCAGAGCCGGAGCCGTCTGCACCGACACCCGTCGCACAAGGTGCCAGGCGCGCACACCTGGGAGAGGTCACGGCACGGTGTCCGGCCCCGGCCGCACCCGCGCGCACACAGCCCTGCGGCCATGGTTCTCGCGAGGCGTCGCGAGGCGAGCCTTGCGCGGTGGCTGGCTTGAGTCTGGGTGTCGAAGTGGCCACCGCGCTTGAGCAAAAAAGGGCACGGTGAGAGGTAAATGCTGGGGACATTTTTTTTGGAGAAGGAGGGGGCACAACCACAAAGCTTCACCCGACTCGGCCTCGACCGCTGTGTGAATCAAAAGGTCGCCAGGCAAACAGAGAACACCTCACGAGCCGACCTGCGATAGGCAATCACCTGTGCTGAACTGTGGCCTGAAGGTTGAGGGAGCGTGGAGCATACGAAACGAGAGCAAGGCACGAAGAAGAGAGCGCAAGGGAGAGAATGAGGGAAAAAGAAGCGAGATGCCTAATGGGGCCGAACGGCGGCTGGCACTAGACACGAGCTGTTCAAGCTGAGCCATGCACGCACGAGCAGGAAAACAATACAAAATCCACAAGCAGCTCCAGCAGGGCGGGCAGGGCGGACGGAAGCCGAGGCTTGCCACGGCCACGCACCTCAGCCACACGCATCGACGCTGGCCAAGCATCTGAGTCTTCACCCCTGGCACCGGGCGAACTGCACTACTGTCAAGCCACCGCGCTAATGAGATGCGGCCCTGCACTGCGGCGAGAGCACCATTGCATTTCAAGGATGTGGCGCGCGGCGCGGCGAGAACATTGTTCTCACTGATGGATGTGACCGGCGTTGCGGCAAGAGCGCCGAAGCCACTCAGAGGTACGGCTGGCGCTCAAGCCACGACATGAATCATTCGCCAGACCCCTCCCAGAGTCCAACCACACAAGTTCTCCTGGATGCGTCCAGCCCTAGCGACGAGAAGGGCCCCGAGAGCCAAAAAGTCTGAAACCTTCAGCCTCGAGGTCCGAGGATCGACCCTCGACGCGACGATAAACACGAAGACTCCGACCGTGTCCCGTCCAGCCTCGTCCAGCCGAGGCTGCGAGAACACCCAGAAACGCCCCAACAAACAATAGACGAAACAACGCCGTCCACGTCGTCGGCGTCATCGTCGCCCTGCGGCGTCTCTGGAGGCTCGGGACCGTTTCGCCGGGACGGTGGGTCGCAAGGCCTCGGGGACTGCGCACGCCAGCGGCCCCTGCGGCACCCGCGGGGGTCGCCGCACCCGCGGCTGGTCCGAAGGAGCCAGGAGGAGGAGAGGAACTGGAGGTGCGCTCGCGTCAGATCTGACGTCCTGCCCCTCCCTCACATCCCTCACCATGGCGTAGATCCCCTCTCTATTCGCACGGTCGGGTGTCGCGGCATGGCAAAGCATTGCATGGCAAAGCATGGTGTCGAGGATCAAAGCGTAGCATGACATGGCATGGCGCGGCGACGCCCCAAACTGAAGGGGGGTCTTCTGAGGCCCCAAGAAATCAACGAATCGGCACCGAATGTGTAATCACTTCCGATGGTTATTTCAGGGAATCATTTCCTAGATTGTGGAGCCGATTTGGAAGAACCGAAAACAATGCCGTGGCACGGCGCTGGAAGTAATGATGCCAGCGCTGCAGCGGGAGCACGATTCGAAACGAGCGGAAGCGCGGAAATGAAGCCAGCGCTTCAGCGATAGCACCTTTTTGAAAACCACAACAAAAATAAAAAAAACACAAAAACAAAAAAAAACAAAAAACGAGCGCGGAAACGAAAAAATGAGGACGCCTAGCCTGATATAGCATGGCGTGGCGACGCCCCGAAGTGGGGGGGGACTTCTGCGGCCGCAAAAAATCAACGAATCGACACCGAATGTGAAATCATATCCGATGGCTTTTTCGGGGAGGCATTTTTCAAATGTTGGGGCCGATTTGGAAGAACCGAAAACAATGCCGTGGCATGTCGCTGGAAATAATGACGCCAGCGCTACAGCGGGAGCACGATTCGGAATGACCGGAAGCGCGGAAATGAGGCCAGCGCTGCAGCGGGAGCACAATTCGGAACGAACAGTAAACCGAAAATGAAGCCAGCGCTTCAGCGAGAGCAGCATTATGAAAAATAAAGAAAAACACGTTGCTCCGGAAAATTCCTGTGCAGAAAATCAGTACGCGGAGGGGGGCGTGATGTTTCCCGGACGCCACCAGGGGAGAAACAAAATGGTTTTCATATTGTGCATTGTACAGAGGAGAAGAAGGAGGAGGAGGAAGAGGACCAGTGTACACCCGAGGATTATCAGCGATGTTGGAATAAACACTCCCTCCGAGCTCCCTCTCCATAGGCCCCTATAACGGTTCAGTTCCACTGAGGGAAATGCCTCGTTGGAAGACAACCGTATGAAGACCCTGAAGCATGCCCGAACACTGTTCTCGGGATTCCAACGCCACGGATTAACCTGACGATTGCGTCTCGACGAATGGATTAACCTGACTATTGCGTCTTGACGACCCTGAATCGTGCCAGGACGTCATTCCTGGGACTTCAACACCGCGAATCACCGTAACTGGTGCACCCTCAGAACCCTAAATCACACACACTAAGGGAAAAAACACACACACAACACTTTGTGGGAAAACACACACACACACACACTGTGGGAAACAAAAACACACACACACAAAAACACACACGTGGGGGGAAAAAACACACACACACTATGTTTTTTTTTCCCACGGGCTGTGTGTTTTCTCCAGAACACCATTTTTGATACGTTGATGGTGGGCATCCGTGGAACTTGGGAACCCCCAAACCGGGTGGTGAGATACCAGGTGGCGACCTGGAATCCCCAAAAAGGTCACCGCTGGGTTTGGGGACGCGGGGTCACCGCCGGATTTTGTGACTCCTGGACCCACCAGCGTTCGGGACATCCCCGGAAAACCGCACGGGTCCCCAAACCGGGTGGTGACACCAAATCGCCCGAGACTCACCGCCAGGTGTTGTCACCACCACGTTTGGGGACTACCAAGGAACTCCTGCAAATGTTCAAGACGAGTGTGCGCGGCGCTCCGGCGAGGGCCATAGTTTGAACGCCGCCCGGCCTCGATCCGCGGAACTCCTGCAGATGCTCCGGCGAGGGCCACACTCTGAATGCCGCCCGTCCTCGATCCGTGAAACTCTGAAGGGGCCCCAGGACACACAAATAAATACACACAAATAAAAAGATGCCCCATAGTTTCCCATATTTTCTGGGTTTCTGTCTTCCCCCCCACTTCCCATATTTCCCCATATTTTCTGGGGAATCAAAGATTAATTGTGTCTGTGTGTTTCTGTTCCTCCTGAAACTCTTGCAACTGTTTAAAACGAATGTGCGCGGAGCTCAAGCGAGAGCCACATGTTGAGAACCACCCGCCTCAATTGACGAAGGAACAACCCGCACCCATACCCATAGGGAGGTCGTTGGGAGGAGGACCGGCTATGGGCATGGGTGCGGGTTGTCGGACCCTGGGGAACGCTCCCGTTCGAGCGGGGAACCCCATCCGACAACACGCACCCATAGCCCTCTCCGATCCCCCTATGGGTATGGGTGTGTGTTGTTGGTTCGTCATCAATCCGTGAAACTCTTGCAAATGTTTAAAACGAATGTGCGCAGCGCTAGAGCGAGGGCCACAATTTGAAAACCGACCGCCCTCAATCCGCGAAACTCTTGCAGAATTTTGAAACGAATATGCGCGGCGCTTAGGCGCGAGCCACATTTTGAAAACGACCTGCCCTCAATTAGTGAAACTGTTGCCAATGTTAAGCTTCAGTGTCAAAAATGTTGAGGAAGTCTGAGGCGAAATGCCCGGCCCGCCCTGGAAATTGGCCTCAGGGTGCGACAAGGAGAAGTTATTCATAAGGAAAAGAATGGAGGAGGAGGAGGAAGAGACAGCAGGAGGTGGAGGGGAGGGAGGGAGAGATGAGGAGGGAGAGAGAATGAGGATAAGAGAGAGACGAGGGAGAGAGAATGAGGACGAGAGAGCGGGAGTCGCTC